TAGGGGATTCTTACTTTCACTTGAAATGTGAGTAAACTTTGTTTCAGGCAGGTTAAGTGATTTGTCCAAGGTCACATAGGTCGTGAGTAGCCAAGGCAGGGTTCACTTTATCTTTTTTTTTTTTTCTTCTTCAAAGATTTTATTTATTTGACAGACAGAGATCACAAGTAGGCAGAGAGGCAGGCAGAGAGAGGCGGGGAAGCAGGCTCCCGGCTGAGCAGAGAGCCCGATGCGGGGCTGGATCCCAAGACCCTGGGAACATGACCTGGGGCTGGATCCCAAGACCCTGGGAACATGACCTGAGCCAAAGGCAGAGGCCCCAACCCACTGAGCCACCCAGGCACCCCCAGGGTTCACTTTAAATCTGTGTACTTTTTTATTACGTGAACCTCGGACTCCACTTCCATGAATTTTTCTTTTGTCCTTGGACTCATCCTTTGTTTCTATTCGGTTAATGACTAGCCTCTGTGTCACAAGCTGTCATCCAAGTGAAGAATGGCACTCGAGAAGTTCCATCCATGACTTTTATGCTTAGAATACCAACGTGATGATTAAAGAAAATCACTACTTCCTCCCCCACTCTACATCAGATGGTAGTATTTTAGTGAAAATAGATTACACTCTGCTTTTAAGCGAAGAGGCGACTTTGGAAATTAATTCTTGCAAAATGCAGTGGAGAAGGTAAACACCGTATTTAAGTGACAGTTTCTCTCACCAGAGCTTACAAAAAACAATCAGCATGACTCACTGATCAAAAAAAGAGCCACCTGGCAGAAGAGGCAGGCAGTGTTTAAGAAAGAATGTCCTGGCATATATACCTTCTACCAATGGCGTGTAGCTTCGATATCAAACTGAAACATACCCACCTGGCAACATGTTTCATCAGATTGAGTTTATCACACACACGGCGTGGCAGGGTGCTGTAGAAGTTGTAAGCAAGTTGTCGGAGTCCAACAATGTTTAAATTTCAACCCTTTTCAGCAAGGTGGCCTTGAACCAATTGTCTAAGCAATCTGTACTTTCGTGTTTTCATCCATAAAATGAACATATGAGGACTTATGTCACAGGCACAGACTGCTGCGTTTAAATAAACAGAGCTTCATACATGTCTGGCATGTAGTTAAGTGTTCAAAAATGAACGTTCAAAAATGAAAAACCCTGTAAGCCTGAGCTTTGGTTCCGGTTCTTAAGATGCTTCAGACAGAACAAGACCTTAATTAAGGTCTTGCCCATCTGATAGATATCCAGGGACTAAGGTGGTTTGGTTTTGCACGTTCTAGTTGTATCTTTACTCAAAGGAAAAACACTACTTTAAATCGCTTGCCGGGGATTATGGTTTATTCTATGCTCCCCACTCCCTGCCCTCATCCTGGGAATACTGAGTCGCTAAGGCTATTTAAACCTGAACAGGCAGCACTTTTGAATATAAACAGAAGCTTGTGGCTACAGAAGGCACAGAGGTCCGTGATGCAGGAAGGAAAATGTTATCTCTGAAGCTTCTGGGTAGACAAGGATGAGGATGCAAATATTATAACAAGTCTGAACACTGCTCATGCTTCTCTGCATCTTTGGGAAACTAGCTACCAACATAATTGTGAGAGCAGATCAAACGAAACTTAGAGATGCATTTGACTTCCACAGGAAGCTTTCCTTGACCTCCCCTCGGTGTATGGTGCTTCTTTGTACTTGTGGTAGATACTGGCTAGCTGCTCAACAGATTTCTTTCCGTGCACACAGGACTCCATTTTTCACCTCCAAACAGTAGCTTAGGCCCATATGATAAGTTATGAGCCAATAAAATAAGGGAGGGAGAATAAAGTCTTCAGCTTTAGAATCACCCATTCTCTTAGGTGGTGGCCATAGATGTCACCTGTAGAAGATGAGAGCCTCATAGGAGTAAAGGAGCTTGGATCCAGGTCACTGCTTGCAAAGTTGCCAGAAAGATCCTCTGGATCTTCATTAGGCTATGATGTTTGCTAGAAACACTTAAGTGTGTTAAACGCTGAAAATATGGGGCCTTGTATTACAGAAGTTAGTGTTCATTGCCCTAAATAATAAAAAACCTCATTATTACACTACCCTGAAATCAATCTCAAAATTATTAAGATTACATGTGGCAATTTTGATGCCCACTCTGCCAACTCATTCTAGAAAATGTAGGGAAAACTGCTTTACTGGCAATGTGATGGTTAATTTCAAATGACCCTGACTGGTCATGGAGGGCCCAGATTATAAGAATCTCTGGGTGTGTCTGTGAGGGTGTTTCTGGATGAAAGCAGCATTTAAAAGAGTAGATTCAGTAGAATGCCCTCCCCAGTGTGTGTGGGTGTCATCCATTATATTGAGGGCCTGAATAGAATGATGGGAGAGAAAGGTGGAATTCCCCTCTTCTGCTTCCTGCTCAACTATCTGAGATAGAACATGTCATCTTCTACTGCCCACGGACTGGGACTTATGCCGTTGGCTCGGCTGGTGCTTGGGCCACTGGACTTGAACTGAACGACACCGACTTCCCTGGGTCCCAGGCTTGCAGATCATGGGACTTCTCAGCTTTCGTAAGTGCATGAGACGATTCCTTATAAAAAGTCTGTATCTGTATTTCTATAGCTCCATCTTCCATAGATACAGCTTTAATACAGTTGACTTTCTATCTTGCTGAACAAGTGGGATAGGAAATGCCAAGCCTCATCTGCCACAAATCATAAATACATTATCAACTACTCTACTTATTAGTATAGCTGATTCTAGAGAGGTAATTTACCTAGGAAATAAACACAAAATAACCAGACATAACCCAGATTCTTTTTATTTCAAGGTCTATGTTTTAAAATATCTCTAGTAACACTAAACATCATGCTCTCATTCTCTGAAGCCAGCTGCTCTTAAGGGCTTTAGTTAAGACACTGTAATAAGTCTTGAGACTGATTTTCAATTAGCAAGGGCTTAGTCAATTGACAGTTTGTTTAATGAAATGGTATAATGATGGGAGCATTCATCCTTAAAACTATGGCTCTTATCATTTTTGTATCCCACATTCATTTATGATTTGATGAAATTTAGGAACTTTCTCCCCATCAAAACACACATATACTTATCATTTACACCACGTTTTAGGGATACTCTTGGACTCCTTGGAACCCCAATGTACTCTCAAGGATCCAACAATCCAGGATTAAAAGTCTGTGGTAAGGATGGGTAGCTAGTCACTACCAAAGGTATTAGAGAAGGTATAGAACTGTGGATGTTGGAGAAGACAGTTTATATCGCTAAAAATGCTGAGAATACTGTAGTCCCCTCTTATCCATAGGAGATACATTCTAGGACCCCCAGTGGACACCCAAAACCACAGATGATACCAAATTCCATATATACTATAGCTTTTTTCCCCAATGTACATCTACTGGTAAGAAAGTTTAATTTATAAATTAGGCACAGTAAGATGTTAACTGTTGGTAATAAAATAGAATGATATAATAATATGCCATAATAAAAGTTGTATGAATATGGTGTCTCACCGTCTGCTGGAGATTCTTTCTCCCCCTTTCCCTCTGCCCCTCCCCCACTGCTAACACATGCTCTCTCTTTCTCAAATAAATAAATAAATCTTTAAAAAATACCTGTCATATTATAATTGCCATTGTACAAACATGGAAATGGGCATAAGGAAGTTAAGAAACTTGCCCTAAATTGCATTATCAGCAGTACGTGGGGGAGCCTAAATTCCAACCAAAGATCACTGTCTTAATTACACTCAGATACATACAGAATCTCATAAAACCTAAGTCTGATTTGCTAATGTGCTGTTCTCAAGGCCAAAGGCTATTTAAAAGTCAATGTTTTTTATCCTCTAACTAAGCACACTCAACTAAAACTCAAGATTTTATGTTCTAACCAAATGACAATCAAGAATTAATTGATTTAGAAACAGCAGGCATATGGAAAAATTATGGAAAAGAGACAACTGGATTCCAGGTCTGTATACGGCAACTACTTTATTATTTTCAAATGCAAACTCTTTGCATTTAGTTTGCTATTTTACAATTTTACAAACTAGGTATAAAAGACCATAAATAAATGACATAAGTTATGTGTACCTAAAGTTCATGAAGGGAAGAAAAATACCTTGACAAAATAAAACAAAATAGAAAAATCTATGTCTAACTCAAGAGATCGCTCAAATTTCAGAACATGTAGGAGCCAAGCAATGTTCTGTTAATTTCCTTTTCGGTATGAACTAAATTATAATATGTCTTATACATTCTAATTTTAACCACAGTCCTTGCATATTCCAACATACCTGGAGTGATACAAAAAATAAATGCACTCTTCAGTGTGTATCAATGGTTGATGTTGTTTGGAGAATGTTAAATAAGTGAAAATATTGCTTCTAGAACTTTCCTTTACTGGTCAGATTGAGTGTCTTCAGACAAATATTGAGGCTATAAGCGTGTATGGATTAATACACATATCCTTCACAGATTGAATACAAGAGTTCTCAAAACACACATACCAGCAATGTAGTGAGCACAACCTGTCTCGAAAATAACTTTTCAACACACCAGAACATTTCATCCATGACTGTTAAAAATAATTTGGGGCCAGTGGACACATGGTGAAGCTATGTGATTTGGTGCAGGGGAACAGCTTAATGCTGCCTAACGGAAGATCTGAGCAAGACTGAGCATCTGAACTCACTAGGCCAGCACTCGCTTACGGGACTAGATACAGTCCCTGAAGTTGGCCTCCTGCCCTGATCTCTGGGGAAAGATGACCAGCTCAGAGATTCAACCTCATTTCTTTATACATATTTTTCAGGCATCAATGCATAGGCACATCCCTTTAAAAATATATTAAAGTCCCCAAAATGGGGTGAATTAACTTTTGTCACTCTGGCATAGCTATGAGAACACAATGCCACACACCCTGTCAGAATGTAATTAATAGTTATTGATGATTTTCTCTACTTACTCAACATGGGGTTCAGAATCTTTTTTTTCCCATTTTTTTTCCCTGATTTGATGGTATAGCTTATGAAAATGGCCACAGTTTCTGCAAGCATAGCTTAGAATAGGCAAGGCAGCCACTCAGATTATGAAAAACGGCAGTATGTTGGCTGAAGTTTGGCATACGTGTCCTATCGGAACTGAATCTTCACACACCGACCTCAGATCCTAGAAGGCTAAGGACTGTCGGAGTTAGCTGCATATTGGTAACTGTAGAACACTTGCTGTATACGGGGAACCTGAAATCACTTAAGGACATTTAATCCCAACGATGCTAACCTCAAGAGTCACTGGCATGTATTTTTCTGTGACATTGAGAGACAAAGTATTAATCCAGAACACATCATCTCAAAGCTGACACACGCGTCTACGTTCACCTCCGGAAGTATATGAATTGCATATATTTTGTTCGCATTCAATGAGTCCATTTACGCAGGGAAACAAAGGCTACCTCTATTCCATTTGGGGTTACCAGACAAATTCCATTCCCTTCTCTCTCTCTCCCTCAAGAAACCGGCAATTCCGATGAGAAGTTCAATCGGAATTAGTGATTTTGATGATGGGTTGTCACCTGAATGGATGGACACTCTCAAATTACCCCATCGCCAAGGTGAAAATGCCTCCATCCTAAGCTGCAGGCTTACTTACTAAGCTTAGCGTGGCAGCTACAAAATACACTTCTAAATACAGGACACTGAACATTTCCGGGCTATCTTTCTAAGGGGACCCGTGCGGGTCCACCAACTCATGTGGCTCTTCATCTCTGAACTGGCGAGAAACCAAAACTCTCCGGGTGTCGCCTTCCACAACATTCCCAGGCAGTGCTAAGCATGAGGTCCTACACTCACACGCACATACACCCGCGGACACGCACTCTCACACCTATGTACACACATCAAAAGAGATAAATCAGCTCGTAGTTAGTCTAGGAAAAAAAATATATTTATATCACGGCAATGGCACACCCTGGGTAAAATGTTACTTCAGCAATGCATATCATAGGCAGCTCATGGGAACTGGCTTTGCTTTGTGTGGAGGCACCGAACCTGGTGTCCATGGTACAACCTGTAGCCTTGCGTCGCTCGCTGCCGTGCCAAGGCAGCAGTGACGTACAGGAGCGAGATATGGAAATACATATAAATAAAACCACGAGGAGTTTAGGAACAAGGGCTCTGCAGAGCTGGTGCTGCGAGACAGTACATTCCTCAATGCAACGGGAGGACCCGTGCTGAACCTTGCCCGGCTGTGGTTTTTCACTGGTAAAGGAGATTCCAACGTCATCCATGCATTCTTCTCGGGTCTGGGTGTTGTTTCATCAGTGTCTTTGCTCCAGGACTGGCATGAGCAGAAGCAGAAGAAACGGGTTTCGAAGGGACTAAGGAGGGTGTGTTCTGTTTTCTTCTGTGGGCTTTGTAATCAACAGGAAGGGCTGTGAGGCCAAGATAGCAGAGTCTACTCCCTGTAGAGAAAAGAACAGGAGTTGAGACAAAACAGTAGCCAAGATTGTCAGCCAGTTGTCAGCCAACATTGCAAGAAAGAAGAGAAGCACGTAAAGTCGGTACGGCTCAGTAAGATGTAATTCAGGAGGGAGAGCGTGGAGATCTAGCTTCTCTCCTCGGAAAAATGACAACTGGAGTAGCAACAAGAAAAACTGGCTATTAATAGCTTAATTATAACAACTCGAGGAAGGTACCGTCTTACCCCCATCGAATGGACAAGGCTGTTAAACATAGGAAAGCTGAGCTACTTGCTCAGGGTCCTACATGGTGAAGGAGTAAAGCTGGGATTGGAACCCACACAGTCTGAGTCTATAGCCATGTCTTAGCCACTGTGTGAACAGCCACTCTGTGGAAATGAAAATTCTGACTTGGAAGAATTGTGCAAGAGAAAGGCTTAGTTGGTAAAGGGATGTGAAAGACGAACTGTACTACCGGAAACGCCTGAGCTACTAGCACCCAGCCTTTCCAGAAAGGGAAATTGGGTATCTTGGGAACAAATCTGGAAATACCACAATCTACCAATATTCAACGCTATGATTGAAAAAATGCAAACCAAGAGGTAAAAAGCACTGACTGCTTTTCTTAAAAAGTAACTGCTAATGAAGGAGAGCATCTAGCAAGGATTTACACACGCTGCATGTTAATAGGCACAGAAAGGGAGCATCAGGGAGATGTCTGGTGTGGCAGCAGGAAAGGTTTAGGGGGCTTGAGGCCACCAAGAACCAACCGGTCTCAACTGTCCCATCAGTCTAGAACAGAACAAGATCAGCATGACACAACGGAGTCTCTGTGGCTCCTCTCCTCTCACTAATCAAAATGAACAATAATAAGGAATTTTCTCTTCTTTCCTTTGTGACAACCAACCACCAAGATTGCTTCAGACACCGTATCTCCCACCACAATGGCCGTGTTTAGCAGTGGATGACTTCAGGTGGAGAGCAAAGGATTAAGACCAGAATCTATCTCCACAGACAATTTTGCTTGTTTTATTAAACCAATTCTTTATTTGCTTGTTTTGTACATATGTGAGTTTACGTATGTGAGCTACACATCAAATTTAGTTCCTTTGAGGTAAATAACCATTATTTAGTCCTGTAGGAAATACTTTAGAGAGAGAAATAAAGTTTTCTTATAAAATATTCAGACAGAGATGACTTCTTAAGCAATTTAAAATTCTAAATGTAGGTAAGGTTATAACTACCAAGCCCTTCTGGAAGCCACTTGTCAACATCATTCATTTTGCCAATTATGAGGAAAATGAAAGAAAGGACCCAGATCTACTTTTCCAGCTGTGTCTTCTCTGGGGATAATCAAATACTCAGGGTCTGCACTAGGCAGGCATATATTTACATGCAGGACAAGGAGACATGAGTAGGACCTTTACGACTGATGGAGTACAACCAACACCGTATGGATATGCCCATTTTTTGAAGGCGATTTTATTTTGTTACTAGAAATTCCATTCTTAGAGGAGAAAAAGGAGTCCCCAAAACACGCCTGTCCCCTGTGACTTCACCAACACTCTTCTTCAATAGTTCCCAATGGGACATGGGCTATTTGGGGACTCAGTGTATATGTTGAAAGGGTTGGATGTTTGAAATGAGAAGTGTGGGAATATGAAGGATTGTATCTAGTTAACTCCACTTTGCAGTGGAGAAAAAGAAACCTTTGCTCCTTTGAATTCTGACAACTCCTTATTTATGGGAACTGTTTGAACAAAGACCAAAGCATGTGGTCTATGTGGTATCATGAGGAGAGATGCGACTTTTGCTGTGACTAAATCAACACCACATGGTTCCTTTGAATCTGTTAGGAAGACATCTAACTGTCTTTACCATCAGTTCTTCTCATTACAATGGGGTCTCGCTTGTCCATTTCTCCCTTTTCCATTATAAAATAACAATGTCATGAATTTCAAGGCTAAATGATGAAGAAATACTAGGTAGGTCTGCCACCTCTTGTAGAGATACATGTTTAAATCAAAGCCTCATAAATCCACACAAGGCAAAGCAGCTTCATCTGCATGGCTCCCACTACTGAACTCCGTTTCACCCCACTTTGGCATGTCACAATAGCACATTTGGGTTCTCGAGTGAAAGATGGATGAGTAACACTTGGAAAACACTGGAGGAAGAGTATTACCTTCCATCTGTGAAGTTTAGTACATTCTACCTAAGAGCATTTCATATACACTTGTAACAACGCCATGTGTTAGGAAAGGTGTTATTATTAAAGTATCATTATCTCTAATTTGCAGGTGGAGGGACTGAGTTATAAAGAAACATGGAGTGAATTTCCCAGTGTCAACATCTCAGTTGGCTTTAGAATCCATAGCTGTCTAGATGCCAGAGCCTGGCTCCATGCCCTGGGAAACAATGGAACATTCCTATTGTCCTCCCCTTTCTCTTTGAAAATGTGTAACTTCACGGAAGCAGTAGAGTTTCACTTCAACTGTTACTGGATATTATTTTAGGCACTGAGAAAGCCCTTTTGGCCTTTCCATTGGCCTGGATTCTAACTCATACAATGTGTTCAAATTAATATCCAGGAGGCAACCTTTGAATGTAGTAAGATTTCAAGCCTCGCCCGATTATTCTGCACGTACCCAAAATGTGTGCTGAGAAATAACACCAGGACCTCGGCACAGTGTCCAGCATTAACTTGTTAGGATATCTTACAACTGACACACTCTCTCTTTTGAAATGTTCTGCTTTGAGTATGTTCAGTGTGTAGAAAAATACCTCATCCTATGTTGTTGCCTTGAAGAAAGCAAGGCTTCTAATTATTCAATGTATGCAAGGAAACATTCTTTTGACTTCCAAGATAATGCCTATTCGAACTGGTCCGTGGAGACTGAAAACAAAATACATCACAGCTTTCCTGAAGGAAAAAAATACATAGATAGTTTTTTTGTTTTTTGTTTTTACAACAAACAAAAAACCCACTAATATATCTGTTATCTGTCACCTTTGAACATGAATATCCAGAACTCTTAGGGTTCGGCAAAAGTGGTGATAAACAAAAGTGGTGATAAACCAAAAATGGTTGGAGTAGTTTAAAAAAAAAACAACAACAACAACAACGAATTTCACATTCCTTCTGAACAGAAAAGCTTTTACAACCAATGCTGCAAAAAGGTTTTTTCTAAACTGTCATGATTTGACAGCATCAAATTGAACATGCCTTGCTCTATAAGAAATAGCTTTCAGCATAACCAAGGGGGGTGGGAAGCAGGGAAGCCATATTGGTTTCCACACTGGTCTCTTCTCCCATTGTCAAAAGAGAGGACTGACATCTTGAAAGAACCCCAAACTAAATGATAGACATGAAAGAATATTTATTGCCCAGTGTTTCAAATTAGATCAAGTTAAAAAAGTTTTCATTGGAGAAAGAGTGCAGAGGTTTTGTTTTGCCTTACCTTGTAGGTTTGGGTTTGCTTCTTTAAAGGAGGGAAGTGTGAAAGTTCCCTATTCAAGATTGTCATGGTCCGCTATCCATAAGGTAGTTACAGTAAGTTTGTAGAGTCCCAAAATACGACTTTATATGGCACAGCCTCAGGCCCAAAGAAACAGACCTTGTCTGTCCAGTGATGGGGAGGTGCTTGGGTTTTATTATTATTTATTATTATTTGAAATCCATTTTCTTTTTCTTTCCAGCCCCTTATGTCATCGTAAGCCAACAGGGGGCCCAAGCACTGAAGGAGCAACACTCATGAGCCACACGGTTTTCACCTAGGTTGTTTCCTATGGTATGAACCAAGCCTTAAAAGCTACAACTGAGTCCTTCCACAATGTTCCTGGGCATGATATCCATTCCAGTGAAAGCAGGATGACGGTCATTTACGCCACAAACAAAATACTGCAGTTGTAATTCCCATTGGAGAGAGGATCAAGGACGTCTCGGAGAAGCTGAGTGTCTGGCAGCAACTGCGGCATCAAACTCGGAGGTGGTGTTTCTATTTATATACGTACATGTATTTTACAAACTGGTGATGGACAAAGTACTTCTGAGAAACAATTTGTTCCAGGTCTAATTTCAAACGACGGCTGTCATTTCTGTGTAGCCCCACAGTTTCGGCGATCTGTACACCAAGCAACACTGCGAGTAGTGATTTTTTTTTTTTCCCTTAATTTCTGAGGGCGAAGACGAAGTAAAAAAAGTGCAGTTCTTCAATTAAAGTGCATGGATGAGGTAAACTAATTTCAAGAATTTCGAGTTTATTCAGTACTGGCTCAGACAGGAACCATTCTGCCATGGATCTGCTGCATTTGGGTTCTCATCGCCTGGACACTGCTCAAAATCTTATTCTGGTGTGTGACGGCTGTGATGCCAATTCTTGCCAGGTCCCTGGAGGTGGGGGAGAAAAAAAAAAAAAGGGCCAGAAAAGTTACAAGAGTGGAGAATCTCGTTTCGGGACTTCATGCAGACACACATTTGAAATCAGCCACAATTCATACAGCACAACAAGGCAGGTGTATTCAAATGTTTAATTAAGCAACTGAATGCAACAATGTAGGTGCTTTTAGAGGCTCTGTAAAATTATACTCAATCAAAATGAAAGGCATTCCAGTTTTCTTTTTCTTTAATGAGGAGGATGATAATGCAGCTCAAAGCAAAAAAAGAAAAATACTATTAAATCTAGATTTACCCTTTGGTGTTACATCGCTGAGTACTTACTCCTGGTTCATGTGCACTACAGCCTCTAATGTGGTATAACCAGCAGCCGTGAAGTTATCCTTATACCGGTCCATTTTAATGGCTTGGAGCCAATCGCCCACTGACACCACGGCAGAGAATTCAGGGGAGCTTGGATCCAACAAGGCAGTGTTAGGTCTGGTAAGGGAATGAGGGAGCGGAGACAGACAAGGATGATCAGTGAGACGGCATGACTCAGAAGTCAGACTGGCTAAGACAGGTGCTGAAACGCCAAGGACAGGCTTTTTAGAGGGACTACCTATCGTTCAATGGCATCAGGAGGTTTTTCGTTTTTGTTTTTGGGTTTTTTTTTGCCCTAATTTCACAAAGTTGCTAAAAATGTGTATCCATCACCTTATCTGTTCTTAATTGCACTTCCTGCATTTGTTTTATGTGGACTTCTTCACACATTAATGATTATACAGGTCTTTCAATATTCTTGCCTGGGATAAAGACTGCGGGAGACCTTGTGGCTGAAACTGGTTCAGTCTTTGCCGGGAGAGTGCAGTCCCTGCCGGCACAGAGTGTTACATACTTCAGGACAGCATCTATGGAAACCCTAGTGAAGTATGAGTAAGGGAAATTGTGAGCTTGCAACTTGCCAGACTCAATGAAGCGGACAAAACAGCAAGAGTTCAAGTCCAGCATGCTCCCAGCCAGGTTTGCAGGCAGGCTCAGTGCATTCAAACAACTTGGGACAGCAGGGAGTTAATGCCCTCTTTAATCAGCCCATGCCTGACCAGCACGTGTGCCAAGACGGGAAGGAAGAATGGCCACTTTGATCACTGCTTGGATTGTGGAATGTGCATCTCGTATTCCCTCTTAGATAATCATTTCAATGAATTCTAAGCACTTTTTATTAAGTTATTTATTAGTTTATGCATTTCTCAGGCCAGGTGTTTTATGTTAGGCCATTGTCAAGAGTGACAACAGCTGAAGGCAGGAATTTTGCCATTGCTCATGATATTGATACATGACAAAACATCTGTTTATGGAAGCATTTATTAAGAGAATTATAGTCATCTTCAACATCAAACTACTTAATAATCACTGGATAGACCTTCACAAGGTATTTTATACTGACAGTGACATGGGTACAGTGACATGGTTGTTTAAATTTTCTTCAACTCCCATTTCCCTAGAAATTACAGAATGTGGTTGATCTTAACATTTTGACCTAATTTTCATCCCGAGACTGTGTTGCTTGTATATAAACACTAAATCAGAATATCATTGTTACTGAATTTTAACCAAAAAAAAAATTATTTTCCTATGGAAAGAAAATTAAGTCAATATAACGCGCCTTGATTAATTTTCTACATAGCAGAATTAATCCAATTCCTTTGTTTAATAATTTTTACCTGTTACTTTAATTTGCATTACTTCTTTCTTATATAACTGTTTTTACCAAAGACATGTTTTATCAGTTTTGTGTCTTTGTGAGCTTTTATGTACATTATTCCAATTAATTTTCTGAGTAAAATTCTGTAAATTTTTATGGCACGAATAATCAGAATTTAATTCTTCCCCCAATAACAAACAACAGCACAGAGGATTTTAACATTATTGTTAATGCTTACAAGTAATACTTACCTTTAGACAAAGACCAATAGTTTGCATTTCTAACTTTATGCCAAGAGCATTAATAGGGCCACATGTAGGCTGTAGGTACCTGACAAGGTCAAAATGACCTAAGGATGAAAAATATCCTCACTCAATATCAATTAACTCTAAGCATCACTCTCAAGCCTGTTCTGGAAGTCTCTTTGCTCTTTGTGGAACACCATGACATTTGCCCAATTTTGTGCTGAATCCCATACAATGATATACTACATCTCATTATTAGCAAGCAGTAATAAGTATCTAAGGTACTGAAGTATACCGTCAGTGAGAAGAATTTAGAATTGAGAAGAGTATGTCCAATGACTCAATTTGTTCTCAATTTGTTCTGCATAAATGGTACAAAGCACACATTATGCAGTATTGGTAACTAAAGAGTTTCTGCCAGCAGGAGAAACAAACACCAGGTACCAATGAACCTGCCTTAAGACACTCAGATAATATCCATGGGATCTGGAGCCAGAGATCCAAAAGCTGAAGGAAGTTCACCTTGGAATAGAAGAGGCCACCTACACCTCTTGGAGAGCAAAGAACAAGAAATAGCCCAGAAATGCCAGGAGATTTTTTTTTTAAGTCACTTGACTATCAAGTGGCAGAAATAAGATGTGAATTCAGCCCCGTGTTACTTCAGAAAAGCTTGATCATGAAGCTGTTGGGATTGTGGCCAGTGCTAAGGGATCTGAAAGCCTAAAATAATAGAGGGTCCTCTTCTGTCTGTTCCAGATTCTTTTCTTCGTGCATTGTAATAATCAGTATATACCACAACCATTAGGCTAAGTCTCCAGAAGACTGGAGGAGACGCTCATAGCACTGACCAAGACTGGAAGATCTTGGATATCATGGGGAAAACGTTCTCCTATTTTCAACTCAGGGTCATGAAGAACCTTAGGAAAGTACAGATTTGGAGGTGAGTCAATGCCTCACTTCTTGCAGGCCTGAAGCAGCTGGCCAGTTGTCTTATGCTAATCTTATTTAATAGCAATGGTGGTCTATACCCTTCCATATAGGGACAGGTAGCCAGGGATCCTGAAGCTTTCACTAGTGAGGCCCAGTCCCCAAGTAGAAAAGTTCCTGTTGAATTATGGACCTGCAGTATCCTTACCTCCTCTCTGGACTGGTAATGCTTCTTCCTTTTGCGCTCTCCAATGAAATAACAACCTCCTTCACAGGGGGTTCAAGTCTATTCATTTTTTAAAACCCCTTTCAAACATTCATCCGCATGCTTTGTAACCTGGTCAGTTTCTATTTTGGTCCTGTTTCCTTCTACTCATGAAAGACTCAAAAAAGAATCTTTCAGAACTGAAACCAAATGAATTTCTTGCTTTAAAACCTTTAAGCGCCTGTAACACTTTACAAGTCAACTTCTTAAAACTACAGTGCAGGAAAAGCTGTCCTTGGCTCATTTTTTACTAACCCAGTGTTCCTTTCCCTTTCCCAAATATAGCATCTCGTGACCTGCATGTCTTCCCAAAGTCCGTATCATGTGTCTCCCTAAATGTTCAGGTCTAGCATCATCAAAGAAGCACCTTTATTATTTTTTGCTCCTGGTTCGTTTTTGTTGATATTATTATTTTTTTTAATTTGTTTTTCTTACGACTATTTGAGGCCTGACGGGTGTTAGGCTCTTCAACATGGTAAACAAAATCATCATATATACTCTATTAACTGAGAAAGAAGCCACCCCAGTTGCAGAGAGCTGTGCAGTGGCCTCTGACAAACAGGCAGGAATTCCAGGGAGCCAGCACTCGCCTGCCACCTCTAATGTATCCTTTCATGTATCACTTTTTTTTTTTTTAAAGATTTTATTTATTTATTTGACAGACAGAGATCACAAGCAGGCAGAGAGGCAGGCAGAGAGAGAGGAGGAAGCAGGCTCCCTGCCGAGCAGAGAGCCTGATGCGGGGCTCGATCCCAGGACTCTGAGATCATGACCTGAGCCGAAGGCAGCGGCCCAACCCGCTGAGCCACCCAGGCGCCCCTCATGCATCACTATTAAGCAAGCATGGCCGACCTGGAGCTCTCGGTCCCCGTCCTCTTCAAGCTGTTGGGGTTGCGGATGAGTTTGTCCAACATGTTGACAATCTGCCCGAATTTCGGCCTGTCACTCCGCTCCTTCTGCCAGCAGTCTAGCATCAGCTGATGGAGTGCAATGGGGCAGTCCATGGGAGGGGGTAGCCGGTAGCCTTCCTCAATGGCTTTAATTACCTACCAAAGACAACAGAATGATATATAAGCTGCCAGAGATCCACCCTCCTGACCAGCAAGTTCCCCGCTCATCCAGCTGCCAGCAAGCTTGAGCATGAGAACAGCACCAACGTCTTCACAGAAGCCACTGCTGGAACTGAGTATTGCTGGCAACAGGGCAGGGAAGCCAGCTGTTGCTACGCGCGGTGCTCTCAGATGGCAGGCAACTGTCAATCTGAAATTCTAAAGGGAAGATGCATCAATGTTGCCAAGTGGTTAGAACATAATCAGATCAACAACCTGGTGGTGGCCTGGCCCTGGGAAATCACATGGCAATGACCCTCCCCCTTCTGCTATCCAGTAGCAGCTAAACCCTCTCAGCAGAAGGGACTCAAACCTAGTGTTAAAGACCTTCCTTAAGAAGCATTAATGGTTGCCTCCAAGATGGAAGGCCCTTTTATCATTGTAAGCCTCTGTCCACTTGCTCAGACAGCTCATGGACAAATACAGAAGCCCACCTTCCAGACCTCCAATCCAGAAGACACTACCTCTCTCTAAAATAGCACGCTCCTCAAACGCTCTAGACGCCCAGCTATTTTTACTTTTGGAAGACCACAATATGCCAATACGCCAATTTGGTATCTTATTCTTGATCTCAGCTGGCTGTCAAATGACACTGATAGAAGTTGTTAGTAAAAGAGATCTAAAAAAAGTGTTAGCAAAGAAAATTAAAACAAACAAATAAATTTCTTTTAGGACATTCCCATTTTGAAGAGAAGAAGTTATAATGGTAGATGGCAATTGTCTTATTGCTCAGTTCTCCCTGCTTAATAAAACATAAGCAAACCATTCAACAGTCTTTCTTCTCATTCTACTTTTTCTAATCTGTTTTTACAGGTATTACGGTATTTTTCTCATTAGCATCTTGCTAAGCCCCTCTTCTTTAGGGTGTGAATCCCAGTGATATAAAATCATATGACTCATGCCAAATTTAAGGAGGGGAATTATTTCATAACTTCTTGGCTACTTATCAGCAATATTTATGGGCATCCTATGAAATTCTGGATGTGCTTTTGTTTGTTTGGAGATTTTTAAAGTTTTATTTGTTTTAAATCAGATTTTTTTAACCACTTTGGTAGAAAAAAAATCGTTTTTTTTTTTTTTCTGATTTTTTTAAATGTAACTGTCAGCGAAATCACCAGAGCTGTAGCCATCTCAATGACCACGTTGGCGTTCCCCCCCCACCGTAGGTTTTATTTACTGTCCAAAAATTGGTCTTCAACAGAAAACAGTTAATTCAGTTGGGTCCAGTTTCTATGTATCAGTACGACTATTGTCTTTTTAGCTAGCACACAGTTCAACAATCATCTTGTGATTTATTAAGCCCTCTGATCCTTTTTTATCCCATGTATCTTTGCCAACATCCTGTTGTATTAGTACTATTTACCACTCCTTCTACTGTAGACTTCTATATGCTATCTTACTAAACATTATTCTATTTATTTCTAGCAATTACATTAAGTCAGTTTGATCTTCGGACTTTTATCTTTCCAGGTGCATGGTGTTGACTCTGGACTTGATGAAAACATTTCACATTGAATTGATGACAATGAGAGCAATATTGGGCTAATGCCAGGGTAACACAATTTGTTATAAACCCTCAGACTGCTTAATACTCTTTCATTAGCTCCCTATCCACTGCCAGCTTGGAAGATGGCTTGTGGGTTAACAAAGCATATTTTCTCAGTTTGCTGCTGAATGTTTTGGGGAGGGGGACGCTGACGAGCAAAACAAACAAAAAAACTTGGTAAGTTTGCCACATTTTCAATAGCTATTTTGATTCTATTCACCATATGCCAAATGAATTCTGATGAAAGTAATTCCCCAGTTACATTTCCTATTGATCCCTGTTCTACACAGAACCCAACAGAGACAAATACACGTGAATGACTAATCAATATTATTTGTGGGAGAGACATGGCTTCAGATGTTCTTCATGGATAAAGCCAGACAGCTGAAAGTTTAAGACAATAAAAACTGTTTTCATATAATATAGAAACTGTCAAAACTACAGGCCTGAAAATATTTAGGGCAGGAAAATGGACAGCATCTTTTAGATCCCCTGCTCCTATGAGCATTTGGTCATGACTCTCAACTGAAATGAAGCTTAAGTATCAAATCATTAAATGAGTAAACGTATGCACTACTTGCTCCTGTAGGTAGTTTCTGTCCCTCTGAAAGTCTCTAATCTGAAACCAAATGTTGCTATAAGTAGGACCTGGAAGGTGCCTGTGACACAATCACACTGAACAACAGATTACACACCACTCACCTCTATAGTTTTGTCCCCCACCTCCCCGCAGCCTGCAATTACCTATCAGTTATGCTAGCTACTGGCTTTCTTCCTGTCTGCTATGAACCTTTCTTTGTAACTTACAGATAACACAATGTCAACACTATCATTCCTCTTAATCTGGTTAGAGAATTCTTTTTTGCCCCACTAGACACGGAGTGCACTAGCTTCTCCATTGCTCTGAACAGCCTTTTATCGATAAGGTAACCAGCATCTTACTTCCTGAGTGCACCTGGTTCTTCATTTAATTGTTAAGCCTTTGCAACTTCCTGTTGGTCCAGGCTAAGGCAGATGGGCAGAGGGAATTCCATATGAGAAGGATTTTGTAAAAGATGATTTTTCTCCCAAACTATAATTTTTATGACTGCTGAATTGAATACCATGCCTTTGTAAACATCCTCTGCTAATATTTCACTTCACATATATAAGTAACTAACAAGTGTTCTGGGAAGACCCCCTGGTTTAAGATTTTTATTTTTGTGTATTTTTCCCCCTTTCACACTGGAGATGTTTGTAATTAAATTCTATTACTCTGGAATCTTATTAGTGTCATTATTGAATGGTTTTCTGAAATTGCAGGCATTGTGGATACTCCCTTACGAAGTCGTCCAGATGGTACATTTAAAGGGATGTGCATAATTTACAAAGGGTCATTTAGCGAAGTTTTATTTTAGAGTCCTCAAGGGGCAAGCTCTAATTACAACTATGCCAGCTTTAAAATATTCACTACTTTTCTTCCAATAAACCTTTGGTGTCAATTTTTTCACATGTGAAATTTCTGTTTTTCGTATATCCTTGTATTTTCTTAAGAGTCAAAGTTGAATTTTGTTTCAGTATGGATTTGAGCATTAATCAAGTAAAATACTGTTCCTTCTCACTCATCCATCCACCTATGTAACTATCTACTGAATCTGTCTTCCATACTATCCCATTTAAGCTACATAATTTTGGGCCTTGAAATCCATGACCATAAGGTTTAACTAGATTACTCATCCATTTGTGTTGAGAATCTTGCATTCCGTGTATCATTTCAAGCTCAGCCTTCACTCTATCATATGCTGATGCGATCCTTCCAGAATCTCAATGTGAAGACATATTTTAGAACATAAAGACTCACGTCTTGATTGGACATATCCCAATAGGGTCTCTCTCCATACGACATCACTTCCCACATAACGATTCCATAGCTCCATACATCACTCGCTGATGTGAATTTACGATAGGCAATTGCTTCTGGCGCGGTCCACCGGATAGGAATCTTGCCACCCTGTGAACATTCAAGACATAAGTTATTCCCTAAGTACATCACTGATGTGCCATTTCAGTCACTGAATGTTGTTACTGTTTGGAAGCAGGTCAACAGCATTCCTGAGATAGCTCTCCAAAAACAATGAGAGACTTGTTTATTTTAACTAGTCTTTGAGGTTGAGATGCTTCTCCTCATAGGTTTTCTCTAGTCACAAGGAAGTGAATAAGTAATCTGTTTAATTATTTTTAAAAAGTCTACCTATTACCTGAGCTCTGCTTTCAGGCAATATTGTAGAAGAAAAGGAATTTCAGGTTTTACAGAATGCTTATGTCATCATGGTATATCAATGGATGTGCCACGGAGACTCTTGTTGACTTCTTGTTGGATTCTCTCACTCAGCAGCACAGAGGCAGTATTTAGTATCACTTCTGAAATCATGAACTGTGGAAGTTAAATACGACCACACTGTGATCCTACTTTTATATAGCATGAGAAACATGTTTAACATGTTTAGAAGATAATACGTTACATAGTCTCTCAGCAAAAGCCAAATACCAGGATGTCAGAGCTGTTACTGTCTTCAGGGGGTGAGGACACCCACAAAAATGGTAAAGCAATTGAATATTACTCAGGAAAAGTTTAAAATGCTGTTTTCTTATTTTGTTTTGCCTCAAATGTCTACTGTTTGATTATACCTATGTGAAAGGTATTTTTAATTGAGTTTCAAATTTCTTAAGTTTCCACCTAAGGAAATTAATGCAACTTGAATTCAGACCCTCAAGCTGTTCAAGAGAACATCATTTCAAAGTCTGCTTTACTAAGGCTACGAAACAAGGCAATAAATTGTACTAGAAATTATACTGATTCTTACTGGCACTTACTCTGAAAACTCTTCTGGCGCTTACTCTGAAAACCTAGTGTGTTACATTTCTACTTGTTCTATGCAGAGGATGCTTGTGCTGCCTTCTACTTTCCTTAACTATTCGGCTAAGGTGTTATCTATGTAAATGCTCATTCTAGAAGCCTTCTTTCACTTTCCTCTCTCCAAATACTGGAAAAAGAATTAAAGATTTTTAGCATTCACAAAGATGCATTCTTTCCTAACTGAATGGACTTAGAATTCAAAAGTGGATATATGTGTAGTGTAGACTCAAAACTAGAGCCAAAGAAAATGAAAACTACAAGGAAAAAAAAAATAACCAACCAACCAACCACTCAAACAAACAAACAAACACAAAAACACAATGCTTAGGATTGCTAATGCAAAATGAGCACCGAAGGAAGAAAATGGCTGGTAACTGTCTGCTTCTCATTGATTTCAGCAGTGCCAGCCCTAATGGCCAATAACTTTTATGATTCTGTTTATTTCCTTACTATCTTATATTCAGCTTGTCCAGCTAAGATAGCATAGCCATTAAATGTATACTGATAACTCTTAACTGTGTCCCCTAATCCAGCTTATCTACCAGTAGCAAAATGAAGACCAATAGACACTAAAAATTCTCTCATAGTGTAAATGTTTTATAAATTTTGTATCTACATTCCCAGATTCAGTAGCCAACCAACTAGAAACATTGTTCTGTCTCGTTTAAAATAAGAAAATGTTTTAATAATAGATAAGAACCAAAGAGAAAATATAAAATAGGAAGGAAGGAAGGAAGGTAGGAAAGAGGGGAGGAAAGGAGGGAGGAAGGGAAGAAAAATTAAGTGTAAAAACTGCAGTAAGTAAAGCTCTAGTTTGCAGTAAAGTAGTCACACATCATGAGGCGGTTTCAAAATCCCTCAGAAACATGCCTTAAAAATGAACATGCGCATGGGCATGAAGAGGCTCTGAATGATGAGGAAACTTACAAAATCACAAAGGGCTTAAACATCAAAGTGAGAAAAGAGGAACAGTTTCATCAGAGTCAAAACCCAGAGGTCATAAATCCTCCTTACCCTGGTGGTGTAAGCGGCTTCCGGATCATCCTCAAGCACTCGTGACATGCCAAAATCGGACACTTTGCAGACCAAGTTGCTATTTACCAGAATATTCCGCGCAGCTAGATCTCTGTGCACATAGCTCATATCAGATAAGTACTTCATCCCAGACCCGATGCCACGAAGCATGCCCACCAGCTGAATGACAGTAAATCTGCCATCGTTCTTCTGTGTAGGAAAGGAATGAGAAACTATCTCATTAGCATGAGGTCTAATTAATTTTCACCAGGCATTTATTACTTGAATCTTTTTTGATATCTGTATCAAGTATGCAATGAAACTCAACATTATTTCCGGGCCTTTCTGAACAAAGTCACTTATTCTTTACTAGAGTGCATCCTAGGAGCTGGGTTTGCTTCCTGTAATAGATGGAAATTATCCAACTGTAATGAATCTACCGCTCAAACAGCCCCACCACGCAAGAGTGAATCTAATACTACCTTCATTGAACATGGATTATTTAATAGCCTTTAAAAATCACATCATTCTCTATGTCTCCTCTTCCTCCCTTGCCCCATTAAAAAAGTCCATGAATACAACCAAACAGAATGGACACAAGGAGTCTGTTAGAGTCTTCTAAATACCAACATTCTTGGGTTTAATATAAAGTAGTCACGTACCCTGAGGAATGCATCCAAAGAGCCATTCTCCATGTACTCTGTTATGATCATTACTGGTTTACCTAGAGTTTTCAGAAAGAAAAACACAAACCCTTGATGAGCACTGCAGTTAATGAGATAAAAATGGGCTGTGCACAATTTTACTGCCAAGACACCTGTCTTGCGCGATCTAATTTAATTAAAACAAGCCAAGCTTATGCCTCAGCTGTGGGGAGCTAGGAATGAAATATTAAAAGGATGGGTAGGTTTAAATTCCATCTGGAAGGTTAACCCTTTGGGTGGCTTGTTGACAAGGTCTTTAACTAAAGTGGCCTCTGGTATCCAGGGAGCACATGAACGGATAATTGCTCTCTCAAGCAAAAGGGGAAGAAGATAAATGGGCAGGTCTGTGTAAAGGCGAAAAAAATCTTTAGGATAATTAATTTATTTTGTCCCCAGAAGAGCCACTTGTGTGATGCTAAAGCAATCAATGGATAGAGAAACTTTTTTACTGATTTAGAGAAACCCAAGTTTCTGGAAGCAGTAACCACACTGAATACTTCATCACTCAAACACATCTCAAAGCTTGAGCATGCACAATATTAACCTCCCCCTCCCCACCTGCCTTGCTAGGGTCAGGAGCTGTATCCTTTCCTTTCCTTTTTATAGTAATAAAAAAACCCTTAATTCTATTTGCTCCCTTAAACCGACAACCTCAGCAACAACAAACAATAAAAATCAGAGAAAAGGTTCAGTAAATTATTTCACCTGAGACAGCAAGTTAATTCAGTACTAGAACATTCTTGCTCCCCCCCACCACCTGTTCCCCCCACTCCCACAAAGAGAACAAAATTATTTTAAGGTTTGGGAGAAGTGGGGAGAAATAATTCTCTCATTTCACTTTGGTTTTCTTTCTGAAGAAGTTAGGAAATAACCATTCTTTAGTTTCTTAATTGCTATGGGCTCAAGGTCTGAAATTCCTTCTTTCTACATGGTACTTGTGGGAGGGGTAGGGAGGGGAGCGTAAATCCTCCGTATTTTACTAAAGGATAGATAAAAGCAAAGAGAACATAAAAGATTTCCTGGGAGGAAAATAAAATGCTAGTTTGATAAATCAAAAATATTCACTTTCATTGCTATACTTGTGGAATGTTCGGACTCAAACATTCAGTCAGGGAAAATGGACTAGGGTATGTCACTGCTGAAAAGTTCCTGTAATTACTCTAAACCAATACCTTTCCCACCCAGAAAAGACTCTGTTCTGATGTGGGGACAGGGGGAAAAGTCTTCATCTCAGAGGGAAAAATTAGAACAGCAGTTTTCAAAGCTGTCCAAGTTACCATTTTTTTCCCACTATGTGTTTGGTGTCCTGTCTAAGAAAGCATTCCAAGGTAAAACTTTGGAAACAATACCATGGAGACTTTCTTTACAGTGATGGACAAAAAGCTGGCAGAAAAACTGGAAAGTGTGGTGTAGATCAAAGGCCGAAGAAAACCCATTTCCCGTCTCTCCTCTTGGCCGGAAGGAGTGGTCTCTCTACACCTTTTCTGTCCTCCCTCAATATAATACAATACATAGGAAGCTCTTAGTTTCAGACTCCTTTACCCTCTACATCTGTGGCCACAGACAGACCAAATGCATCTGAAGGACTTTTAATGAACCCGCATCAATCAAAAGATACTTTGTCAATTAATGAGAAAGGTTAACTCTCTTGCATTAACACCTACTCCAATTCCACCAGATCCCTCTGGAGGTGTGGATAAGAGTAGAAGATCCAAAAGATGGGGGGGGGGGGGGGGGAGGGGAGAGAATTTATAGTCTCCCCGACAATTTAAAAAGTTACTCAAGTAACTGCTGGTAATGAATTCACAGACTTCCACACCACCTCTGCACCCTCACACCTCCCTCCTCTGACGGTTGGCACCATCTTTACAATTTCTCTGCATTCCTTGTTCTGTTTATTGAAAGTATCCATTTGTCAGAATCTTTATGAGCTCTCCAAGAGAAATAGAGATGAAGGTCTCCATAAGCAGAGGGGCTTATAAAATGGGTCTCAGCTGGGCTCACGGATGGACAGGACTCCTCCCCTACAACAGGCAGGGGTGCAGTGAGGGCAGGCCAGCGTTGGGGGAGGGGGACAATGCCTCTGGTGGCAATTTTAAATCATTTTAATTCAGTGACAACTGCATTATGCAAATGCATCCAGTCGTTTATAACAGTTACAGCTGTAATAGCTACGGGTTTTAGAGGCGCGGTGGGACTTTAATACAAAGATCCCCTGTTTCTTCTCTCTTCTGCAGAGGTGCTATGAAAATCACTGTCTGCAGCAGGAAAAACACCCCAAGCTGAACAGAGCCTCCTTTTGAGAAAATGGACCTGCAGAAGTATTTAAACAGAATGTTATCTTTCAATTAAAGTAGTGAAGGGCTCTGGGCAGCCCTGAAGGCCACGGGCAACAGAAAAATATCCTGTCTGTAAAACTAATCTTAAAAAGCAAATAGAGCTATTCTATGCTAATTATAGCCTTTGCCTGAGGTAGAAAATTATATACCCTTAGCACCAAGGTTCCGTTTCTGAAGGACTCTGAAGATGGGAAAGACGTTCTTCTTAAGACATAGTAATACCAGTTTAACACCTAGGGAAGATTTCTGTTGTTGTTGTTTAAATTTGCCAAGCATTATGCTAAATACGGGAACTACTTCATCCAAAAAAACCTGCTGAGGCAAGTTCTATTTTTAATTTTATGGTACAGATGAGGAAACTGACGGTTTGAGCAACCAGTCAAGACCACATGCCCTCTGAGCAGTAGAGCTGCCTGGCACGTCTCTGGTCACCTCTCTGGCCATGGGGGCCAGGGGATCTCTAAGTCTGGTCCTAGGAACCACAGCTTTGGTTTATCTACCCACTCTGCAGAAATGCGAACTCACCACCCCATCCCCACCTGATCAGTCAAACCTGAGGACGCGGTCCAGGAAGGCGTTTTAACACGTTTTCCAGAATTCTGATGTTGGTTCAACGATCTCTGAATAAACATACACTTCCTCTTGCTTTTTAGTAACCTCCTTACTTTCTCTTCCTAAAGGTCCCGGACTCTTGTGTCTCAATTCCCTGCTCTGCCCCAGACGGCATGTCCAATGTTGACTTGTTAACCTCCCCTTCCCTCTCCACTGCACAACTACCCCTCCACCCCGCCCCCCGCCGAACCCTTCGCCCACTCTGCACATGCTGATGGAGGATGCTTTTCGTAGGCACCTTGAATCAAGTTGCAGGAACCCTGGCCTTCCTGGAGACATAGCCCTGGGGCTTACAAGATCCTTGACTTGTACTTAGGTAGTAGGTACCGAGGCTCCTGGAACAGAGCCATGTTCAACAACAACGGCTTCGGCTGGACTGTCCGTCCGTGTGGTGCTTTATAAATTGGTCTTAGCCAGCCTTACAGATGTATTCAGGGTTTGCTTCACAAAATGCATCTGTTGAGTTGTGTCGTATTTTAACTGAAGCGTGGTTCACAGGCTTGGGGAATGCTAATGGGCTAAAAAAGGGAAGGTTCATCCAGGTGTTACTGTGAATAGGTGCTGAACAGCAACAGCCATAAATCAGGCAGAGTAGACAAGCAAATCCCCCAATATAATAAAGATTTCCAAGATTCACTCCCCGCATCTGGAGCCGAAGCTTCAAGCACAAGGTGTGGCGAGGTTTTGTTGGGGTTTATGTGAAAAGTACTTAAATTTTATTTTGCTTACCATCTGCTTGTGCCTACCCTGTGACAATCAGTTTGGTCTAGCGAAGGTTTGAAAGATGGCGAGGCATACCGAAAATCTGCAATATTAATTTCCCTAAAATCTCACACAAGCTGCCTTGGAAATAGGGAATCAGCCTAAACCGTAGACCCATTGAGAGCTGACTACAAGATTAATGACTTGTCCTGCACTGATTTCCTCCTATTAGCAATCAGTGGGTCTGCTCCATCTGTCATTTCCCTGGAAAGAAAATGTGTGTTTAATTTGCCAGTAACTTCTAACTTGGCTTTGTAAAGGGAGCGACCCACGTACATTTGGTGACAACGCCTTCCAAGTGAATTATGTTCGGGTGGTCAAACTGTCCCATGATGCTGGCCTCACTCAGGAAGTCTCTCCTCTGTTTGTCTGTATAACCAGCTTTCAGGGTCTTGATGGCGACACAGATCTCTCTCTTGCCAGGCACTTTGAGACGCCCACTGCATACTTCACCAAATTCACCTTTGGGAAAGAAAAAACGAATCAACCATGGACCAGAAACACATTCAAGATTAAAGAGGAATAGCAAACATTTGTTGAGTACTTTTTACATGCTGGGCACTGTGTTCATGTTTTACATAGATCAAGGAAATTTCATGTATACCGATATTTACATAAATACATGGATATACACGATGTTCATACAAATTAGTATAATCCACATATGTATGTTTAATATCTACAACGAAAATAGGCTTATCTGAGAGATACTCAGATACTTACCAACTCCTATGACTTTTTCGATCTTAATGCAGGATGCGTCGATTTCTTTGGCAAATTCTCGAACTGCTTGGTTGGGATCTTCGTATGTAAAGGGATCCACGTAAGTTCTAACACCTAAGCAATAAACATGTGATAGGATGGCTGAACACTTCTCAAAAACCACGAATAAACTTAAGTTGTCCAGGTCTAAAAATACTCAGTATAGGAAAGTGTTCTTAGCATGACAAAAATACTTAGCATAGACATACGAAATATTTAGATTCTTGCTCTGGTTTTCATTAGTGGGTAAACAAAGAATTGTTAGCTACTTAAGAGGCTACAGCTCTACTGACTTCCTGGAATGTCTTCACACTTCAAGGATGAAATCTGAAAAACCACCTATCCCATGGAGGAAAAGAGAGTCTCTACAAGAAAACTGGGAATGTGTTGGCTGAATACTAGGTATCCAGATCAGTTGCTCATGTCCTACCCATCATCTCCAGCCATCCTTTCTTGGGAAGGTAACTGGAGCTTTCTTTCTCAACGGGCCATGTCTACGTGGTGCCCCCTTTTGCCCAATATCTGGACCAATTAAGCATGTGACCAGTAATTAACAAATGAAGATTAAAGCTGGGTTAAAATAGACAAGAGGGATAACACCAGCTAGCTGATAGAGAATATAAACTCTGTATTGGACCTGCACTTTTAAAAGTGCTATTAGTAAAGACACCACAGTTCATCTGGAAGCTTCAGCTGGAGAAAATGTTGTTGCCTCATTGTGTGGATGGTCTGAATACCAGAAGTGTAATTCAGCCAAACCCCACAGTCAACTTGCAGCCTAAATTCAGAATGTGAGCACTGAGCCCAGAGATGTCTGGGGCAAGAAGCATTAGTAATTACTGGGAATTCTCCTTTCCCTGCTAGAGCTCCTAGTACAGCTTTGGGGCACAGAGAGGGTGTAGGGCGCTGGTTGACTTAATAATCCCCTTGATTTTCCAGAACTGTCAGTCTTTTCGTCTCCAAAAAAAAAAAAAAAAAAAAAGTCATTAAAAAAAAATATATATATATATCACATGCAAATTTTAAAAAATATGGTTTTGGAAAGAAAACAGGGTGAATAAGTAACAGAAGGTTCAGATATCCCATATCCTTCAGCTTTATATGCTATAGCCAAGAAACTCTTTCTCAAGATGATCCTTCCTACCTGTGGTCTCTCTCTCTTCTACCTTCCTGTGCTGTCCAACAGAGTAGCTATTACCCATAAGTTGCTATTATATGTAAATTAGTTAAAATTAAATAAACTTAAAATTCACTTTCTCATTCACACTTGCAACTTTTCAAATACTCAATGGTGCATGTGGCTCTTGGTTAATGTACTAATGTAATGCAGACAGAGACCACCACCATCTCAGAAGGTTCTAAAGGTTCTAATGCTCCAGGAGGGGCATCAACCGCTGTCCATTTAAGAGTCTTCTCTCTTGCTCAAGTCATTCTAGGGCCAGTTCTTCAAATTTACTCTTCAATCCCCAAATAACCAGAGTACATGGAAGAAATATTAGTAGTCCTGAAAGCCATAGCAAATACTCTTGGGATTGGGACAGTTACTGTTCATTCCTGGAAGTTCTTTTCTTTCCCCCCAAACGTGAGAAAAACTGTGACCTGTTAAACCTTGTCACCCAGCTACAAAAATCAGCCACTAAGACCAATACTTTTTTCAGGGTGGAAAATAAAATAAGGGAAAACGAGTTTTCCCAACCCCCATCTTTAATCTCACTTGAAACAATCCCAAATCATCGATTTCAGTTGGATACCCTGAAGATAATTTTGTGGAAGGACTGTAATATTAATAGTCATATGAATTTAATTTAGGCATTTCTATAATGAAAATATGAGACATGCTCTAAAAATAAAATTATTTTTAATCCGGTTTTTGTACCTTGATTCAAATGTTTCTCTTCATCTGCTTCTTGTTTAGCTTTACTGTATTTACTCCGTCTAATTAAAAATTAAAAAAAATAAAATTATTTTCTAAAGTTGTATGCCATAAGTTCTTTGCTACCACATTGTAAGTCAGGCAAATACATTGTGGACATTTCACAGATGAGTAAGCTGAGGTTTATGGGAAGTAAAATAATAAGGTGAGTTAACTGTCACTTTGATGCCAAATGATGGTTTCAAGCAATCACAACCCAGAGTCTCTGCTCTTAACCATGATACTAAACTAAGGTGATAAAACAAATATTTTATAATATACTTTCAAATCTCAAGAATAAATTTATCTTACTGAAGACAGATTTTAAGTTTCCTGGCTAATTTTTCGATACATATTCTGAATTAAAATAAGTTTCCATGGATGAATTCTACAGAAATCAAATGGCAAGAGTATTCATTATAACAGTCAGTCCTGTTGCTACAACCAGAATAACCACTACCACAAGTCTCATGATCATATCATATGATATTCTTAAAAGAATAGTTTTGTGGTTATGGGTTTCAGCTGTTGCTTACAAATGCATAAATTATTAATGATAATTTAAAAGGTAAATATTTGCTTTTTACTGGATTACATTCTATAAGAGTTTGCAGAAAACTTGCAAGAGTAAAGATGAGAAGTTTCCATTTGTAGCTGAATTCTCTTTCCAAACAAATGGTGTATAATCTCACCATTGGCATTCTGTTCTAAATGTCCTAAAGAAATGAGATTTTGGGGGTGGGGAGGGTGGGGAGACAGATGCCTCAGTCAGCTAAGCATTGGACTCTTTCTTGATTTTGGCTCAGGTCATGATCTCAGGGTTGTGATATCAAGCCTGTTTTCAGGTTCCACACTCACTGGGGAGTCTGCTTAAGATTCTCTTTCTGCCTCTCCCTCCGTCCCTCTGCCATCCCCACCCTGGCTTGCACTCAACCTCTCTGGGGGGAAAAAAAAAAGGAAATGGGATCTGGGTGTAATAAGTCTTGAGAATCAGAAATCCTGAATACATGTAAATCTCAAATCAATAATTTTGATAAACTGCATATGTATGCATGTATGTTTATCTATGTGTATGTGTGTAGGTCACAAGAATCAAAAAATCAACTCAGTTGGTACTATAGCTTTTCAAAGTTTGGCAAAATGAGACCAATTAAGTGAATAAAATGTGTACATTTATGTTTCTGCCCAAAATGTAAAGTTGACATTGGAGTTGTTCTTGTGTTTCTTGCAGGTAAGGAAGCTGAACCAAGATCCCCTCCAGGCCACAGAGCATCTCAACAGTGGGGTCCCGTCAAATTCTGGAAACCTGAACTCTGTCTGAGCAGAGAAGGGGGGATGATCGTATAGGAGAGAGAACAGCAGAGCGGTGGATGGGCTGCTTGGGGCGACCGGAGAGTAGCCCCAGCATGATCCCCACATCCCTCCAGATTGTCTGCAGAGGTCCCTCCATGGGTATCACGGCCCTGCAAGTAATAAAACCTCACACTTTCACACTGCATTCAGCTTTCCAAGGTGCTCTGGACACATGACCATGCCCTCCCTCACTATTTACAAAGCAGGAACCAGCTCGGTAAGAGATTCAGTCACTCAGGTTACGGCCAAGTGTGTGGAATGCAGTCCCAAATAACAGTTTGCCTTTTTACTTTGCTTTTAACTTTTAAAAGGGCCATCATTTTTAAATGATTTAATTGATTAAAATGATTTAAAGGGCCACAATATTTAATTATCTTCCCAGCAAGCCCAGGGAAGTAGGCAGGCAGGCAGGCAGACACACATTCAGTTCCACTGTACAGGTGAGGCAGGGCATGGGGGGGGACGTGGTTCCCCCAGGACCCTCTTAGCAAGGAGAGGAGCGCACCACCTGCCCCGATGGGCTCACAATCTCACATGCCTCTCATAGTACAGATGAACCTACATCAAGATCTCTGATGAGAGTTATTATAAGCAATACTACATTTTACGATAGTAAATCCACTGAAACTGGATGCCACTGCTTTCAGAATCCATGGGTTCATCAAAGAAACGAAACACTTTGAAATGTCCTGAAACCAAACGTCTGCATGAAAGATGTAGTCCCCTCCATCGTTCCCCACCCCTTCCGCCTTTTAAAGGAAATATAAGAGTGTAAGGTCAGGAACTATGAAAACAAGATTTTATGTCAGGGAAACGCGTGGCTTGGTCCCAGGGGTGTGATAGGGTCCGGCCAGCCTGAGCGATTGTATCTTATCAGAGCTCCTAAAAGCATTATCTAAAATTACAAGTATATCTCTTGAACCACTTTAGATCTCCAATACTGATCTGAATGTCTTTCCTTTAGAGAAGCAAAATAATGCATTGAGCAGGAGGGCTTTGGTGCCAACTTTAAAATACCACCAAATTTGTCAAAAACCCTGTAATATACCAACAGAAATAACGGCCTCTAGCTGCCCAGGAGGGCAGTTACCTGTTTCCCATCAAGCACATCCATTAAATATGTGTGAAGCCAGAGGAAATGCAAAATGGCAGGGATCATTAATTCTAAGACCCACACGCCCATCCCCTCCTCAGACTTCTAAATACAAAAGGAGGAATTAAACATGAGGTGAAGGTATATTTCTAAAGAAACTTCTTGACTTGCAGTGTTCCTTGGGGGAGAGGACCCTCCGGGAGTACAGAAAATACTAGAAAAGAAACACAAGGAATCACACTGTTTAAACCCTAATGGTAGCCTATTAGCTTTTTCAGAAGATACTGGAAGCTAAAATGCCTAAGTCTGCCTCTACCTTTGTCACCTGATGACCCTTTCTCCTTGGCTCAGGGGAGGACAATGTGTCCCTTATTGTTCCAAGAAAGCAAGCCCATTGAAGCCGGTCAGCCAGGCTGGAGGGCGCCACAGGGCCAGTAGAGGTGCTAACTTTAAATTGACATCCACGGGTGGATCACCTGAACGGCAGAAGGAAACCTTTGTTGAAGATTTTCTAATTACAGGGACTCAGACAAGCTGATTAAGACAGGGTGGGGAGGGGAGTGGTTTGTTAGTGAATGCTCCAGAAGGAAGCAAGGGACCTTTCATCCGCAGGAGTGAAAGGGAAGAGCTTCATCCCGCAGGTGAAGCTGCGAGTTTGGAAGCGGAGCCCTCCCCAGCCCCGGTCAAAGGGGGACAGAATTAAGGTATTAGCAGGCATTGTGGAGGAACAGCGTGAGCCCCGAGCCTGCCCTCCCACCAATGTGTCCTTCTGCCACCTTGACTATTCAAAAACACAAACAAAACACCGGAGGGGGAGCGTGGCAGGGGCCCAGTACAAACCCCGCTTTGATTAAAATACTAACTTCCCTTGATCAAGTGGATGGATTTGATTGATGTGGTTCACTGTTCCAAAACTAATTAGTAAAAGGTAAGTAATTTATTCAGCTAAAGTGCAGATTAAAGAAGATAAAGCAATGTAATAACTAGCATGGCTCCAGGAGGACCCTTTCCAGCGTTTAATGGCATCACCCATGAAGATTCATAGAAGCCATCCTTCTTTTCCCCTTCCTTAAGCTGTCATTGTTCTTGCACCGAATGATGTCTAAATGTTCTTCCCGAGCCACATTCTGAAATGGGTAAAATTGAACTGTACAATTGCACGCAAGTTGTTTAGAAATGTTCCTGCAGTACCATCTGCCCCCTAATTGTATGAATTTACATGACTTCATCAGAGCCAATTTAGGCTAACATTTGAGTGTATTCATTCTTATGTGATCATAATATTCCAATTAGGACACCAGGGAAGATGGATACAGACTGAATGGTAACTGTTTTCGCATTACGTAAACGGTTAGCTCCAAAGTAGAAAAGCTTAGCCTTCAGATGAAGACAAAACCAACTCACGAAGTCTGACTTTATAGTGTGCATTACATGGGCACGGTAATTCACAGATTACAAATGCTACCAACGGCACCAAGGAGACTCCTGAAATTTTGGTCCGCTAGTATGGTTAGTGTGGTCCGCTAGTACGGTCAGTGTGGGCTTCCAACATAGGTCCTTTTTTTTAAGTTCAGAGGACATTAGAATCTTCTGTGCCAGTATTAGAAGTCAGGAAAGATGGGCTCCTGTCCAAATTAGGCAACTAACCAGTTGTGTAACCTTGGTTTATTCACTGTTTAATCTGCTCTCCAGGTTCCCAGTACAGATGGAGCCAGTGTTATAATGAGGTAGTTTCCTGAACCAGGGTCTTTTGTGTACTTCTTCACAAATTTTACCACAACAACCTCATTTTTTTTTCTTTAAATCAATTTCACTTCTTTGAGTAAAAGGAGTACAATATACGCTACCATAAAAACAGACATAACCAAAACCCAGTAGCAATCCTCTGCCTGATTATCAGGCAATACTTGCCTCTCATCACCAAACTGGGCTTTAGAAATGAGTGACTCATCTTATATTCTAGTCCTTTCAAAAGTTTTTCTCACACAATAAAATAGTATTTGGGGAAGACACACTGGCCTCAAGCAACTGTGGATTAATCGTATTTGGGACAACCTGACGAAATCACTTAATCACGTATAAAGATGCAGGGGACCAGGGAAATGTGACACATTCGATCATTAGTCCCGGAGGTTAAGACCTTATCATTGCATTTTATGATGTCATTGTTAGGAGTCATTTCAAAAATCACTTTAGAAAGCAATAAAGTGGTTACATGGTGGAGACCACCAATAGGTACCTACAGGAGTATGGGGAATGGTGCCATATACCACACAAGAGAATGTACAGACGTGGTTGGGATGAACTTTCTAGGGATAGCATCACGTAAGTAAAGGGGCACGATGCCTGAATAACCCAATAGCAAGAACAGCGCTGTGCTCGGAAAGTTGACACAAGTCTTGAATTCCACATCAAGGATGAAGAGCGCGCTGACTGTAGATGCTTGTAAAAAAAGTAAGTGAATTTTCTGGAGCGCCTGGCTGGCTCAGTCGGTTAAACATCTGCCTTTAGCTCAGGTCATGACCGCAGGGTCCTGGGATGGAGCCCCACATGGAGCTCCCTGCTCAGAGGGGAGTCTGCCTCGCCCTCTGCCCCTCCCCTTGCTCTTGTTCTCTCTCTCTCTCTCAAAAAAAAAATCTTATAAAAAGAGTAAGTGAATTTGCTTAGCATAATGTGGGTGGTAAAAACATAGCACGGGTCTTAAGTCAACTTACTTTGTGTATCATTTTAAATATATAAATAAGTTCTATAAATGTGGGAGTTGGAGTCTTTCACTGAGATCCCTGAATGTTTACAACACATCCAAGTTGGCCAAATGAAAAAGCGATCTTCTCATTGAAAAAAAGGGAAATACCCTGGCTTGCCTAAAGCTCAGGCTTCTCAGTATAAAGAAAATATAATGAAATAAATGAGGCAATTGCTATCCAAAGAAAGAAAGAAAAGAAAAAAAAAAAACTAGCAAGATACCAGCTGTGAGCCTGAGGCCGCTTCCTCTTTCCTAAATGACAAATTAGCACCAGACAGATTTTTCTTTGAGGTAATCAGGAGGGTTGAAGATTTTCTCACTGTGTGGGTCCCTGTCCTTTACTTCTGAAAAAAATCTCACACACCATGACCTGGTTGGACTTGGTTGCAGGGGAATCACCTCTTAAGGGATCCCCTTGTCTCTAGCATTGACTGTGCCATCAACCTTCTGTGGCTCTAAAGGGCGAGAAGCAGCCGTATCATTTTCCGGGCCAGGGTGTTCCATTTGTTACCTTCCCAGGGGGCTGGCAAGATTGCTTGGGGGTGCCATTTACCACCTTTCATTTGTACCCGCACTAAAAGCAGGGACCAGACTTTCGTCTGCACTACATGTCTCCTCTCTCTTCACCTGTTCTTGTCGCACTGAAACATCAGTAGTCCAGTGTGACAGAGCACACCGCCTGCATACGGAGAAGAATCAGCTGAGTGTGCATCAGCCGTGGCAAAGCCCGTCAGCTACCTGGCTCCAGGCGGCCTTTCCCGTGACAGCTTTATGGCCGACACTAAAGAAGAATCAATAGGAAGGCAAGGGGTTGACATTTCATTTTCTAAAAAGTGATCCATTGAGGACCAATCACCAAGCAGTGTTTATCAGCCTTGGGAAGTGACATTTTTTTCTTAAGGGTGGGGGGGAGAAGGGACAAGAATCATCACTGGGTAACTCGACAGCCTCAATTCTCTAGGGCGTGGACTCATAATTGGAAATCCGATGTATCCTCCTATCAATCCTAACTTAAAGAATAAAGTGATCAATAAAAGCAGAAACAAAATTAAGTCATCAAGTGTGCGATTCTATTTCCTATAGCTACAAGCTTTTAATAAGCTCGTCTTCCTGCATTACACATTCTTGTGCTTTTGCTTTCATTTCGTCAAAGTGGGGCATCCAAAAGAAACTTATAATGCGGTGACTTAGTCCTAATTATTCTGGTTTCATTGGTATATTTAAGGTGGCTTGGGAAAAAGAAAAGTAACGCTAAGGAAAAGCTGGACAAGTAGACAAAGCTTCCCTTCAACATCAAAGAAGAGGTTGAGATAACACATGAGACCCACTTTCTGCAAAGGAGTGTTCTCTCCAATGGTTCTAAGCATCACGTGGTGCTGGATTTTAGCCAAAGATTATTTCGACATGGAGGTAATTAAGAAGTTTTTTTTTTCTTCTTCTACTTTTAGACTTTTAAACGTCTTTGTGATTATATTTTATTGATTAAATTTTCAGGTGCAGAAATATATAATAATGAAAACAAAAAGCCCATGTAATTTCCACTAAGTCTCCCATCCCACTCTTGCCCCCCACTATCAGATGGACATGTATTATTGCGTCCCGCTCCCCTGTGTTTGTGTGCCCAACATGTGTACGTACCCAAAACCAAAAGGAAATGGACAAGAAAGAGGTCCATCCTGACTGGCTTCCAAAATCAAATGCCAGAAAAGGAAAGAAAACTTGAAATTGAAATTCTGTTTAGGCCAAATCAGTTTCCAAAGACTGAGCTTTAATAATATATAGGGTGCAGTGGGCATGTCTACGTAGACTCTGTGTACAGTCCAGCAACAGGGAGAAGTGTTCACTGTGGATTTCACTTCTTTGGGATGAACTCAGGGCTCTAATCAAACACACAGTGACAGCCTTTGCCCCAAAAAGAACAAACACAATGACAAATGTAGGTGGTGCCTACACACAATGACCTCTTGGTGCATACTGCGTATAGAGCGACCGAGATTGATTTCTGTAATTCCAGCACATTTTGGAGCATGGCAGTGGGGAAGCAGGATATTAATAGATACATGTGACAACTGAGACCATCCCGGCAAATTAGGATATATAGTCATGACCCTAATTATAATGTACCACAAAGTGAGCAAAGAGTGTGATGGCTTGCTCAGACCAGTGGCAAGAGCTAGAGGCATTGTTGTGACATCAATGAGATCACCAACAGGAGGGGCAGAGAGAGAGAGAGAGGACACAGCAGACACTGGGCAGGGAGCTGATCATGGCTACTGGGTGCCCAGTAGTAGCTCTCCCACGGAGGGAAAGTAATAATTCTAGACAAGTACTTTGTCTTCTTCAGTATCATGTTCCTTTTCTGTAATGGGAAAAGGTTTATACTGAAGAGGATTATTTTGATGTCCCCAGGTTCTGCCCTTCTTTTGCCAAAAGCCCCACCTTGTGAAACAGTTGATAGCATAGGGGACTGAAGGTTGGAGAAGCCTAGATGTGGGCACATACTAGAGATGAGAGGCTGTCCCCCCTCACCCCCTTCCTCTGGAGCCTCTGAGTAGTGTTAATAAGCAGATGGGAGCAACAACAGTAAGGAAAAGTGGTTGAAAAAAACAGACTGCCAAGCCATTTTTTTTTTCTTTTCTAGATTGGTTTTCAAGTATCACATTAGATTGTAGACTTACACAGAATTAAGTAATCTTTTTTAGATTCATTTCCAAGAACAATGCCATGCCTACAGCGTGCTTAATGGAAACTCTCTAGAAATGGTGATGGCTTCTCCCAAAAGAAGACTGAGTGTAGCACCCAATCATTTGCTTTGGTTGCAATTATTACCAACCAAACTCAAGTTGAAGTGCCTACTGTGTACTGGATTAGCTACTTTACCTATCAGAATTCTCCTATCAGTAACTCTTAGAGATAGATCTCTGAGATCCTCTATCCGTACTTTATAAAAGGGAAACAAAAGGACTCAAAGAGTTTAAGTAATATAGCAAAAGGAAAAGCTTAAATTTTGGACCCAAGTTTTATATGGCTTCTTTTTTGCCTCCGGCAGTAAGTCTAAGCTTAAGAGAGGTATAAATGTAACACCTTACAGCTTAGAGAATCTGGAAATCTCTCATTGGCTTGCTTCTCGGCTGGGTTTCTAGGAAATAGCTGGGTCTTTCCAGGACTCTCAGCTGTGAGGGCTGCCACCAGGGCAGGCAGAGCCAGCAGCTCCAATTGCGGTATGGGGAGATCAAAGCCAAGAGGAAGGAACTGGCTATACACATGCCCCGTTTATGATACTAATCAAAAGCCTCAGCTTTGAGGGGAGGAGACAAAAAGCCCCCTCATAAAAAGTGGGACGGGGGTGGGGGTGGGGGTGGGCAGCGAGTGGCTTAAGTGCTTACCTCCTGCTGATGACAAAAGCCGCAATGAGAATGACCACCAGCACCACACTGCCTGAGACGGAGACCAGAAGGACAGTGGAGTTGGCCCCATCTCCAATGATCCGGGAAGGCACTGGCAAAGACAGTTACACAAGGATCACCTCTGGGAAGGTCCTATGAGCTAGAACTTCTGACTGGGTCACGAGTATCAAGGACGGAAGCCACTGGGAAGGCTCACAGCTTCTTTTGCCCTTTGATAAGTATTTATACGACAGCATTTCTAAGACAGCCTTAATGAGATGAAGACTTTTCTTTTATGTATTTGTAGGAAGAACTTCAACCAGAAGACTCTTAAAAAATCCTCTGGTAAACCTTACTACTCATTGCTTTTTCTTCTTTTCTGGTTTCAGCCCTAACTCTTATTTAATGAAAGACACTTGGAAATTTCAAAAAGGACAAGCAGTTTTGAATCCCTGCCCATCTCCCTCTCCAAATCTATCAAAAAACCTGCTCATTATTGACCAGATCAGATGCCACTTCCTCCTTGAAGCCTTCCAGGAGTATCACTCAAAAATGTCAAACCCCATCAGATCCAATCCTAGAGTAGTTTCTCTTCTTTTTTACTCTTACTTTATTTAATAATTCATGAAGAAAATTACTTTCTAGAATGATGTTGAAGATTCTTCTCTATGATCTCCTTATCCAGTAAGCTCAATCTCAATTTGTTAATTATATAGCCGGCTTATTCAATGGGTATCTCCTTTGTTAATATTTTCAAGTCAAGCAAGGAGTCCAACTCACAATGCTGAGAGTTGATGTTTGTCCAAAGGGTTTTAAAAAAAACGGATCTGACTTGATTTAAACAGATTCTTAGAAATAAATAAAAGAAAAATAAATCCAGTCCCTTCTTTACTCTTCCTAGGAGAAAACTTCCTAGCTTCTTTAAGATAGCTATGCAACTCTCAATTCATCCACTTAGCACTTCCATTTTTCTATGATCAATAGAAGATTCAAAATAAGAAAAAGAAGAAAACATTCTCTAATTACATGAAAAGACAGAATAGTTAATATGAAAAAATGCTCTTTTCTAAAGAGCATGAGCTGGGGAGCCTGGGTGGCTCAGTCGTTAAGTGTCTGCCTTCAGCTCAGGTCATGATCCCAGATTCCTGGGATCCAGCCCCACAATGGGCTCCCTGCACAGCCTCCCTGCTAAGCAGGGAAGCCTGCTTCTCTCTCTCTCCCACTCCCCCGCTTGTGTTCCCTCTCTCGCTGTGTCTCTCTGTCAAATAAATAAATAAAATCTTTTAATTAATTAGCTAATTAATTAAAGAGCATGAGCTTTTCTAAGTTACAGACATCGTCATCTCAAACCATGTTCATTGCCAACAGAATGTTTGCCTAACCAGAAATTAGGTACAGTTCCTTGGATCTCACTGTAATATGGTTTCACCTGGACTTTAAAAAGGTCCTCAGAAGTTGGTACCTGTGTTGGTTGTGACCTCCAGAGGCTCACTGAAGTCACCATAACCAGCTGCTGTCCTGGCTCGGACATGGAACACATAGGAAGTCAGAGGATTCAGGCCTTTGATGTCTGTGTTCCTGGCAGCCGTCCGGACGATGCGGTAGCTCCGCTCATTCTGATCCTGCATCGTGGGGCAATAACATTAGAGAAGTTGGGAAAATAAATCCCCCACTTACTCTAGGCACATAATTAAAGGAACCAAGCCAGTGTATTTAGAAGTTGAAAGTAAGGGGCGTCTGGGTGGCTCAGTCAGTTAAGTGACTGACTTCGGCCCAGGTCGTGGTCCTGGGGTCCTGCGATCGAGCCCCATGTCAGGCTCCATGCTCAGTGCGGAGTCTGTTTCTTCTTCTGTCCCTCACCCCACTTCTGCTCTCCCCCCCCAAATAAATAAATAAAATCTTTAAAAAGTTGAAAGTAAAGAGAGATGAATAAACTCTAAACCTCCTGTTCGCTTCAATGTTGGAAGTACCATTGTAAGATCTCGGACTCTGAAGGACATGTGGGGTTTGGGTGTGATCACTGTTGACACTGACCATATGCAGATCTTTACTTATGATCTTTTTTAAAAAGGAAATCAGATGATGGTTGGTGGCTTTTCTCAGTCCACAGACAGCAATTTAACAGAAATAACCGTAAGAAGGTCTCTCATCTTTTTCTATTTTCTGTCTAGAAAATGTCAAAAATGTTGTAATCTGGTTTCAGTGAAAAAATAAATCCTGTCCCCTTTCTGCTTTTAATAAGTAAGCCAATAAGTGATTATCTTTAAAAAGAAAGAGAAGTCAATTGTTCATTTTCCAGACAATCTTGAATGCAAATAGCTCTCTTCAGAATTCTGTCCTTTAAGGGAGACAAGTTATTTGTAAAAATAATGTCTTTCTATAACTTTAAGAGGCTGAAAATGTAATTTTCCTTCCCTGATTTTCTATTAAAAAGTCATCAAAACCCACACCTTGATTCTGAATAGCAGTGATCTACTTAAACAGATCATTTTTTCGACTTTTATGAGTCACTCTCACTGATAGAAGTCTTATATATAAGAACCGCTTAGTTATCTTGATTTCCATTACTAGAAAGAAAAAATGGTTATATTAGAACACAATGTATTTTTCCTATTTTTCAAGATAACCAACTTAATACATAAAATTCATAATTGGATTCAATTGGGGAACAAAATGCATTTGGTTTTGAGATTCACTAGCATTTCGGATTTTTAACTGGCTAAAATCTAAAGAGAAAAAGGAAGGAAAGAGGGAAGGAGGGAAGGAAGGAGGGATGGAAGGAAGAGAGGAAGGGAGGGAGTGGGGGACGGACCGTCAGGAGAAGAGAAGGAAGGAAGCTTGCTCATTCAAGTAATACCTTCTCATAATACTTGACTTCATACTCCAAGATCACCCCATTGGGCCTATCTGGTTCCAGCCAAGCCAGAGCAACACTGTATCTTGTAACTTCTTTCGCCTGGACCAAAGCAATGGATGAAGGTGCTATTGGGAAAAACAAAAACAAAAGGGGAAGCAATCAATAATTTCATTTTACTTAAGAAAGGTGTAAGGACTGTCTCGTCTTTCCCAGATCCCTGTGTCTGTCTTCCCCAGGACAAAAGCATACCATTTTTATGGTTCCTTCCAATATGTTGGTATATGGTTGGTCTTAGAAAGATATTCTCTGAGGTAAAAGCCTACAGCATCACCTCCACAGAACCTGCAGCCATTCTTCACGAAATCTATAGAAAACTCTACCTCCTTCTTTATTTTCTGCAAGTCATGACATCCACTGGAAGACCTCCTTTTAAGTTCAGTAAAACTAAATCTCTTCCTACATCCAAAGTTTCCAAGTGGTCATCTTACTGATCGTTAATTTTATACAAGCAGGAGAATCTACCACTCTTCCCAGGGGACTGTAGGAAATGCAAACAATTTCTATCCTTTCCAATATAAATACAAGTACTGTTTAATTGTGGCTAAGTTTCCAGTTTGACGCAGTGATGCAAATAATGAAGAGCACAAATAGAACAATGATTATCTTTCTGGACATGCGTGACGTTTTGAAGCTATTTTTATAGAAGCTGAAATACTGCTTTTGCCGGCTGAGCAGCAAACTTTCTTCTTCCCACTAAGAAAGACGCAAAAGCAGCCCTCTATTAGCTGTGTTCGCAGGGGTCCTTGAGATTTATAAAACCAGGCTGCCCTTGTCTTCACTGTGACAGTCACGTCTCCCGCTGTTGTCAAGCTCTGCTGGGACTGACAGTGACACAAATGTGCCATCTCTGGGGAGAAGAGGAGCATTCATGAAACCCGTCAACTTACCTAACAACGCTGGTCTGTAGAACCAGAGATTAGGGGACTCCCTCAACTGAATGTACAATCCTGTTTGCTACCAAATTGTGGAAATATGTGAAACCATCACAAAATGGCCACTGAGGAACAACAACATAGTGTCGGGTCATCCTCCTGCTCTTTCCCAACGTACACACACACACATGCGCGCGCGCATGCACACGGACCCCCTGCCCTATTTCCCTCTCCCACTCTTTTCCCCCCAAAGCTATTCCAGACTGAACCTCAGGCATAAACACCAGTGAAAGGCACAGTGGATACACATGTCCTCCATCAAAGGCAACCCCAAGGTTAGTAACGCCAAACTGGGTGAACAGAGCTGCACACAACAGACATATGGAAGCCACTGAACATCTGAAGAAAATGAAAAACGGAAATGTGCTCATTAGCTGCATTTAGGCTTCCCTCCCCCAACACACACACACACAAACATGCACACACACATTTTCTCTCTCTCTTTCCTTACTGGTTGACATGGAACCATTGTCCAGCAAACTGCAAGGAGGGACTCTCAAATACAGAGACGGCAAGAAGGCTAAGAAGGCTGCCTGGCTGTGAAAAGCTGTTTCACTCCAGGTAATAATATATTGTCTAACAGAGCACTTCAGGATACACTCCATAAAAAGGGGCTCTTTAAACTGACGTTCAGGATTAGGAAGTGAAATAGAAAAGCCAGGGTTTTCAAAAGAAAGAGGCAGAGGAAGGGGGGATCATAAAGTTACACAGTGACTTTCTCTCAGAAATGGTCTGAGTCAGATCCTGATAATGAACAGATTCTTCGGGAAAGAACTGTCTGGCTGCCCTTGGGGTGCACTGCTTGACTAAGCTGGTTTCTCTCTGACTGGGTTATCCCTAATCTGCTGCACGTGGGCAATGAACCTGATTTCCATTTTAGAAGCTGGAGCAGTGGTGTTCCTGTGACCATTCAAGGGGGATATGAACTCAACAGAACTTCTCACAATACCGTGGGCTGGGCGTCCCCCATATAATTGTGTAGACTATTTCTAACGCAGTCGTACTTGGAAAAATCCATATGCACAAACGTGTAAATAAACCAACTGTGTGTGCTCTGACTCGGCCTAAGGAGATGAGATGAAAGAGTATAGTAGAACAGTTCCAGTTCCCGAAAGGTATTACGCTGTGTGGCTGTCATGTCTGAATTCTTACTGGACAGAGGTCTTTCAGAAAATCATTTTTATCAGGCCACAGTGAAAAAAGCAATCCATGACCAAGTGAGATGAAGAAATACACCTACTACAACATGCTCTATAGTCAAACATGGCGGCCATTCCTCCCCCTGAAGAGAGCATCTTACCCTCTCTGGTACAAAGAACACCAGCTTGGAAGGAAAAACACTGGGCTTTACAGGGCTGCCACTCTGGAGGGAAGAGGCAGTCTGGATATGTGCTTCACATTATAAGCCACATAGGGGTTCTTCCCTCGACCTTCCCACTTGCTTCTAACCAAGCCTCCATCTCGACAACTGGAAGCTGTCACCTTGCCATGTTTGTGCCCGGCCGTGGCTTGCTTCCCCAGATGAGCCACTTGGCAATGGCATTTCTCGATCATTCTCCTACCCCAATGGTTCCCAAGCTTGTCTTCTCATGCCATTCATGTAATTGCTGCCACATCCTTCCACAACTTGTGCTATGATTTCATTAATGGTGCTCTTGAACCCACACGCTACACTGACTTGAATTATAGTTAAGAAGAAACTTCCTATTACTGATATAAATAAAACCCTGTTAATAGCAGGTAACCCTAAAAATGAGTATGTGAGGAAACAATACTATCAGTGTTTGCTGGATATTCTTGCCTCTCCCTGCATTACCCAAAAGAGGATAATCCAGGCACCAACTTGAGATTCTAGCCTTGGAATAATGGGAAGAACTGAGGGAGAATTGAAAAGAAACTTAATTTTCACACAGGGCAATTCAGTATTACAGGACTTCCATATGGGTCTTCTTCACTAAAATCGTCTCTGAGGCCACCACTGTTAGGTTTCTACATTTTGGTAAATACTGCCAACCTTTTCTCAATTTAGAAATGTTTTGGATCCTGGGTCCCAACACCCTAGGGCTCTGCTCTTTGCTAACAAAATTATAAGATAATAGACTGATAGAATAACAGATTGAACACTCTTGCCCTTAAAATATGGTTCAAAAGGAGCTATGAAATATCGATGCCTTACTTCAAAAGAGGGCTTCTCACCACAGAGGAAATTTTAGTCAAAATAAAAAGACCAAGCAGAAAAAAATGTGCTGCTTGTCTCTCAGTTCTCTAACTTACATTCCGAAACCTGTGGAGATGTAGTTTTTCCTCAGGACTGACTCATCCACTAAGCACATTCTTAATGAGCACCCGTGGAATAAGGCAGAGATGGAAAAGCACAGACAAAGCTGAATCACATACAGTCTTTGGTATCAAAGGAAGCCCCATCTGATCCTTCAGCCTCTTCTGAATTAACAACAACAAAATAGATGAGGAAATTTTTATAATAGTCTTACAGAGAAGACACCCATTTTCTAGAACTCAAGAGGTGGCAGTTCCTGCTAAGTCTCTTCTTAACCACATTTTCTCGTGGTGATGGGAAGAAGAATGGGGTGGCTGCTTCCTTATTATACTGTGTTTTTAGACGTGCAATACACCTACAAGAGTCAGAGGGGAAGCCAAGAGGAAGATGAAGGCTGATGTAAGGAGCCTCACTACAAGAAAGAGACACAGATTGGAAACATTCCTACCTACCCACAGACTTCCTTCATAAAGGAGGTGTTTGCTTTGAGGAAAGTTTTGTGCCCCTGGACATAGGCAGGCATTCTTTGATGGCCAGAATTTTAGCATAACACTCAACAAGGAGGGCTGGTCATGCTAGCTTGACAGTAGTATGGTTGCGAAAGATGACTGAGGGATGTAAAGATCACAAAGACAGGAGCTATCATAGGGTAGTTTTAAAGAAAGGTCTGTGACGTAATTTAATCAAGTCCGTAATTTTCAAATGTTAGAAGCAATATTTCCAATGATTGACAGATGTCCATTTTCCTGTCCCGAGATGTTGTTATCTGAGACCACATCCTATGACTCTCAAGGGTATTTGAGTAATTTTAGTCCAAACCACATTCTTGACTTCCTTTTCTTTTTGCTTATAAATCACATTGACGTTCCAGTTCAATCATTCAACAAATGCCCTTTAAGTCTCTGCTCCAGGAACTTAAAATCCAAAGTAGAGCTAAAGAGGCATTTATATTTAAACAGTTAAACAGTATTTGGCTAAGTAAAGATAGTGGCTGAGATAAGAAGCCAGAATAGGGAAAAGGGCATTGTAAATTGCAGAAAGAACCATGGAAGGATTTGGAGTAAGGTTATGAAGGTAGGTCAAGATTTGCAGTGGCTAACAGGAGGCAGAAATGTGAAAGATGGCTGAATGGAGGTGCACTTGCTCCAAGTATGACTGGGATTTTCTTAAAATAATTTCTTGAAATTACTTAGTACTCTAATTCTGTGATCATCGAGGGCTCACCTAGGACAAGTGAAATGAGATAAAGATGAAAATATCTTTGACTCATATACTTAAAAGTATTCTTTACTTCACTAATTTGGTGGGAAGATCGATAACTATTAGAAGGATTCTGGGTGTAATTCTGGGTTTGAAATTTACCAGTTGCCATCTTGGCCAAGTCACTCAAATTTTCTTGCCTCCGCTCTCCCATTTGTAAAACACCTTCCTTCCAGATACAAGCGTGTGAGCCATTAGAACGTATGCTCCATAAAGGTAGGGCTTTCCCTTGTCCATATCTATATCCAAACTATTCAATCATGTCTGGCACATAGTGAGTGCTCAATAAATTTGTCAAACCAATAACTAAATGTTAAAATAGACTTGAAAAAATCTTCGTAGACAGTGAGATGTTTTCTAAATATGAAGTACCAGAAATAAGTCATCCCTAAAACAACGTTTCATCTGCACCTGTTTCAGATGACCTTCTGTGGGTCTGGTTTTGCTATTTAGGTTAACTAAAATAATTGACAATTAGGAATAAAGCAAATGACAATTCTAATTATAAATGGAGTCTCTGTTTTCTAAGAGATATGAGAGGCTTCTGAGCTCTCCCCCCCGCAAACATACAGGTTGTAAAATGTCATTCAAATGT